TACATGTTATCCTGGGGCATCTGCTGGTTCCAGAATGAGCTCCCCAATGGCATTGTTTTGTGTAAAAATGTGATTGCATCCTACTACAGGTTCCCCCCAGGGCATTCCAGTGACTCTGGAAAGGTTAATGTGGTCAATGATCCACTTCAATTCTATAGAAAGCATATTCATGAAAATCCATGAAGAAAGAGCTGTCGCACGGCATGTTTTTGAGTAAAAACGCAATTGTCCCCTGCTAAAGGTTCCCCCGGGGGTGTCCCGTGATTCCGAGAGCTGCCAATGTGGTCACTGATCCATTTGAAGTTTAATGAATGCCTATTCATGAAAAATCATGAAGAATGAGCTGTCGCACGACATGTTTTGGTGTAAAAATGCAAATTGTCCTCTGCTCCAGGTTCCCCCGGGGGCATACCGGAGGTCCCGAGAGCGGCCAATGTAGTAAATGATTCACTTTAAGTTTATAGAAAGAATATTCATGAAAATCCATGAAGAAAGAGCTGTCGCACGGCACGTTTTAGAGTTAAAACGAAATTGACCTCTGCTAAAGGTCCTCTCGGGGCATCCCAGTGGTTTCGAGAGCGGCTAATGTGGTAAATGATTCACTTTAAGTCTAAAGAAAGAATATTCATAAAAATCTATGAAGAAAAAGCTGTCGCACGGCATGTTTTTGAGTCAAAACGTAATTGCCCCCTACTACAGGTTCTCCCGGGGGTATCTCGTGATTCCGAGAGCTGCCAATGTGGTCACTGATCCATTTGAAGTTTGATGAATGCCTATTCATGAAAAACCATGAAGAATGAGCTGTCGCACGGCATGTTTTGGTGTAAAAATGCAATTGTCCTCTGCTCCAGGTCCCCCGGGGGCATACCGGAGGTCCCGAGAACGGCCAATGTGGTCACTAATCCATTTAAAGTCTATCAAAAGCCTATTCATGAAAAAGCTTGCATAAAAAGCTGTCGCACGGCATGTATTGGTGTAAAAACGCAATTGACTCCTGCTACAGGATCCCTCGGGGGTATCCCGTGATTCCAAGAGCGGCCTGTCGTGACGCTTTCCGGCCATTTTTAAAATTGCTGTTTGCAGTGAACGTACGACTAATCGCGGTAACTATCGCCAACAGAATGACGAACTCCAATGTTCGTCGGATTATCGGATCACACGAGAGAACCAACATTTATCTGATCGATAGGTCCTCTCTTTCTCACCTTTCTTTCACGACCCGTAACTTCTATACCTTTCTTGCTTCAATGAATCGTAGAGTGTCATACGCTCTCGCTTTCGCTACCTTGCTTGAGAAGCTCTCTCGTGAACCAAGTCCACTACCGCTGATTGTCATGATCGGGTTTCCGCATTTCCCTCTCAACCAACAAGCGCTGACAAATCCCGAATACTCGTTGCTCGTATTAAGCAATAACCATACCCGAGCTCTTTTCCCGATCATTCCCCTTCAATTATACGATCGGTAGCTTTCTTCCGGTAAGGGATAGCGATTCTATACTGACTGACAGCATGAAAGCAGTGCGTTCTTTATAGAGCGGGTTGGTAATAGCATACACTGAGAAATATTATTACATTATTTTGAATAATTATTTCATTATTTTATTTTCATCGCCCAAATCTACTACACGGCCAATGTGGTCAATGATTCATTTGAAGTTTATGGAAAGCCTATTCTTGAAAAACCATGAAGAATGAGCTGTCGCACGGCATGTTTTGGTGTAAATGCAATTGTCCCCTGCTCCAGGTTCCTCAGGAGGCATACTGGATGTTCCGAGAGTGGCCAATGTGGTCAATGATACATTTAAAGTTAATCGAAAGTTTATTGACGAGAAACCATGAAGAAAGAGCTGTCGCACGGCATGTTTTGAGTGATTAAATAATCTGCCCGCATTCAGAACCCTTCACCAGAACCGATTCACCGTTACACCGTAGAACAATATTAGTTTTCCTGTCAAATGCTCTTGGAAGATTTAAAATCGGATCATATTTGACGAAGTTACAACACTCCAAAGTTGACCAAAAATTTGCCTATCCTAGTTGTTTTGAGTAACCCCTGTATGTTTGTTTTGATTCGCTATGAAAGTTTGACAGATAAAATGAGGGGTTCGTGGATTTTTCTATGTTTCGAGGGGTGCATCGATTAGCTTGGGACCGAAGATAGTACCAGAGCTGAGCCAAAAAGTTGAGCACGTTTTTTCGGGACCTTTTGGTCTTAGAGTTACCTCTATGGTTATACCCCGTTCTACCCTGTTCACATTACAGTGTATATCACGTGATATACGCTGTCTTGCAATGAGCACTCATACATCTAGTTTTCACTGGAAATCCTATGTATGAGTGCTCATTGCAAGACAGCCTTTATTATATGATATAAGTCATAGTCTATCAAATAGAATTTCAGATTCCGCTTTCCGAAGTTCGTCATTAGACCACCAAGGTCCTTATATCACAAAACAATTACGATCAAGCTTCCGGGAGATTTGAAGGTTGTCTGCACCTTTAGCTACGAGATGTCCTATTCTATTGCATTCAGACCACAAAATCACCTTATTGATAGGTAGGTTAATCCATCTTCAGACGTTACATTCCGGTCCCACATTATTTTTTATCAACCATGCGACAACGTTTTTGGCCACTCCATGGAAGAGATATTACCCGAAAGATTGTTCGCGAATGTATCCAGTGTTTCCGGTGTAATCCCCGTGGAAATAACCAAATCATGGCTCAACTGCCTGAAGTAAGAATCACTCCAGCGCGAATATTTCCCAACTGTGGACCTTTTCTCATTAATCGACTGGTGCCTCGGTTAAATGCAATGAAACGCTTTATTGCCAGGCGTGGTTGATTATTAAGCCGAACATTCTGAAAGTAGTTTCCCACGTGTCGACAGAATTTCCTTTAAAAATAACTCTTCTCGAGACCTACCGTTAGTAACGATTTTCAAACACGCACCATTTGCAGCTGAAATCCGATAGTACCTTCCAGATTATCCAGGATTTGTGTAAAATTAACTGCTTGTTACTATGGTGACCGGCTGGGCTTAAGATTCGAGTGGAACCCGAAGAGACATGGGACTAAAACTAAAAGCTTAATCGCTTGCCTACCTATCTACCTACCTATAACAGACCCAAAATAGGTAGATTGCAGTGAGAGACGATGAAAATGTATCATAAATCTGCTTTTATGGAAGTTATAAATTCCCGGCATCGATAAGTTATATATATAGGAAAATTATTTCAATCTTAAATTTGCATAATCTCTTTGTCTGCCGGTCGGTCGGATTCCTGCGTAGGTACCTATAGAACTTCAGTATTAAGGTATGAAATCGAGGGACTGGGGCAATGAAAACAGAAGCCAGATGGTCCCGGGAAGAGAGATTAGCACGTTTGCATTAAATTTCAATGTTCCAAGTTTAGATTCTTTGCTTCTGTTAAGACTTTATCAATAATGTAAGTTAGGGATCGTAAATTGTTCGAGTCGGTTTTTTTCCTTTTTGTTATTTCAGGGCCGTTATTTCTCAGACCGAAAGCTTCGTGGAAAATCCATAAGTTCCATTAGGAAAAGCTTGTCGCGTGTGACATATGCATATAGGTGGGTAAATGTGATGAATCTCTGCACAAAAGCCTTGTTCTGTTTCGGTAAATTTAAACCCGAACAAGAGGGGGCCACAAATCCGCGAAAGTTCCACCGACCGCCCAAAAGTTATGCCACGAAACAATTCCCTGAGATAACACGATAACCGCATGTCACTGGCTGTTGGCAAAGCCCCGGCAGGTCGTTCTCTGTTGTTGGCTGTTGATGCTGATACTTTGCTTTTCGAAACCTACTAAGCCGATTTCACTGTTTCGCAACGACAACAAAGCAACAAAAGCTGAAACTAGAATCTTCTAGTTATGATGGCATGTCCCTTCCTTGGAATATGCGACCCCCTAGACAACGGAGAACGAAAATAGCAAATTTTAAGACAGCTTTGCCGGATATAGTTGCAAAGTCGAAAGTTGGGTTGGAATTTAAATTTCGCCGACGGCATTTCATTCCGGCAATTCGTTTTGTGTATGGACTTTTGCACTTTTGAATAGATACCACCGCATACCGCCAGAGTCGGAGCCTGGAGGGGGTTGGGTTTGCAAAAAGTTTTCCTTCAATAAGGAAAAGTTGGTTGCCTGAATCAATTGTGTGCTCTTCAAACAATAGGGGAAGGAGTGGATATGTGATCTGACATGGTCCACCCAGGTTATTTACGTGATGATACGTTGAACATTTTATGCATTCTGTACTAATTATTCATATCCAAAGGGGCCTTGCATTAATTATCTCATGCTAAATTGAAAAAGAATTTACCTCTACTCAACCCCTTCGCCTCGTTTTTCCCATACCTAATACATAATCATACATTCCCATCTCTCGTAGAGCGTGACATAATATATGCATCACCTCCAACGGTTAAAATATCAGACATATTATTGACACATTCAGCTTGTGTACATATGAATTTTGGCTATTCGTTATTTTCAGAAAAGCGGTTAAGCTTCACTAAAATTAACTTTCATCAACTGCTATGGTCATTGAAGTGTGTCTTAGTAACGAATGTTTGATCTGACTGGCATAAAGATTCAATTTAATTATTACTGGGTCGAATATTGAAAAAAAAATCAAATGGAGAGATCAACTATCCCCACCTTCCCCTAACTAATAGAGGAACGTATGGAAATCTTTTATGGATTTATGAATGGGTTATTATACATGCAATGGAATTGCAGCTTGAATCAACTATTTGCTCAGATAATTGGTAGAATTGCGAAGATAATAACTTATAATCAACTCGTTGCTCTCGCGTCATAAAACTCCTACCGAAATCAAATTACACAACCCTAATCTGTTTTATCCTTCTTCTTTTGATTTGTTTTATGGATCATGCTTGGAATTGTTCTCCCGGAATAACCTTTACTGCTTGGCGCTTGGAAACATACCCCTGACCTCTGACGAACGGCACACAACAGATCAAATGGCGCAAGGATGGCCGCACGATTACCCAGACGGAGAAGTTTCGCCTCTCGGCGGCGGGCAGTCTGTTCATCTCCAATCTCACCGAGGCGGACCAGGGCCGGTATGAGTGCTCCCTGCTCAACCAGTACGGACGGGTGACGGCCAGTGGACTGCTGACGGTCAAGTGAGTATTTATGTCCTCTCTGCGCTGCAGTAGAGGTAGTCTTGTTTTATTTTTAGTTTAGTTTTATAGTCCTAGCGAGGTTAAATCCATCCAAGATCTCATTATAAAGGAAGTAAAAAGCGGTAATAAGATTTTCTTTAGAGCGGTGCCGGTGGTGTAGTGGTAAGCGTGATTGCTTCTCATTCCAAAAGGCCTGGGTTCAATCCCAGTTGGCGCCGTCGGGATTTTCCAAAGCATAAAATCTCTTATCACGTCTTCCTTCGGAAGGGAAGTAAAGCCGTTGGTCCCCGGTTCATGAGTTGATGGGTCGATAGGTAGGGTCCAGGTGTGGGAGCTGCCTCGCTGGCGTGGGTAGCATTGGTACACAGTACGGAAAACAAAATCGAAGGAAAACAAATCAAGAAAAAAAATATATATATATATATTTAGGAAATGGTTCTAATGTGAATCTAAGATTGAGCCCATCGCTATTTATCAATTTTATCTAGATGAACGCGTCATTGGGAAGGTACTAATGGATATTTTTGGTCGCTTTTGAAAATTTAGTCGATTGCTGAATTTATGTATGGGTCCAAATTAGGGGCATTTAGGTCGATGTATTTAACGATAATATCGATGTTCGTGCACTTTAATTCTAATTAAGATGCAAAAGATAAATTGTTTTGTAAATAATATTTAAACATACAGAAATTAACGATAATTTTGGTTTCAAAACACGCGCTTTTTTATTTACGCTGAAATGGTTGATTAAAGGTACTAGGTGTCTTCTGAGACACTCCTTCTTATGGTAAAAGAAAATTAAAGATTAAGGGGGATTTCCGGTTCAATTGACCTAAACTTTGGATTTTTTTCCAGGGAACTGGAGTTAGAGACCTGAGTTTTTTGTCAAATCTTTATTCATTATTGCTCTACAACTGGGATTTTTTTCAAGTCCAAAAATCCAAAATGGCGTCCAATATGGCGGCTGCCCGGCGGGTACTTCCCAAAACTGCGAGCAGCCTAGAGGTCGCAAATCGTCACCTAGAAAGAAAATCGGCACAGTTTCTTGAAGAGTATAGTTCAGAGAATGGAATGAACTAGAATTTTTGAGAAATCTCAAAATTTGACAAAATGGCGGGCATTTGAAAAAAGTCATTTACCTAATTACGCTTGGTAAAATTATTTACATTTTTTGGTTGAAAATTACCCAACTTCCAATACCAATAACTTCTAAACGGGCAAAAACGAGCAGACCATTCTTTGAGCAATTGAAAGTACAAGAAAATGCAATAAAATGGTGAAGAAACCAGACCGCCCTCACGTAGGGTTACCACATGGTATACTAAAGGAGGACATGTCCTCCTTTTTCAATAATTTTTCTACATCCTCCTTTTGCCCGAAAATGTCCTCCTTTTTAATCTTTACATTTTTTCCCGTAGCATATTCATAAAATTGTTTTCAAAGAGCGTTTTTTGCAGAGCTTATTTGTTTAATTATGTTTCTTATCTAGCCAATGCCATTCGATGGTGGGACTAGGAGTATACTACAGCTGTTAACCCCCCTACATTTAGGCTGCGGTCTCTTTGGTGAATTTTAACTTATATAAAGGGTGTCCACGATGAAATTGCCACACTATGAAATTGCTCTAACTTTTTAACCGTTTGGTAGAATTTAATGAAAATTTGGGTGGATTTAGTTCATAGTGCATTATTTACATCCTGCAAGTTTTAAAGTCCTGTGATCAAAACTCGCGGAAATGGAGTCGAAAGAACAGCTCGTGCGTGATAAAATCTTGCGCATTCATCACGAGAACAAGGATCTCTCGCATCGTTCCATCGCTAAAACGTTGGGAATCGCGAATTTCACGGTGTCGCGAGTGATTAAGCGGTTCGAGGAACGGTTAACCACCGATCGGAAGCCCAGAAGTGAAGGAAAAAGTATTCCGAACAACACCAAAAATCACAACCGCGTAGTTGGGGCCTTCAACCGAAATCCGAACGTCTCCGTTAGGGATGTGGCTAAGAAGCTGCACCTAAGCCGAAGTTTTGTCCAGAAGGCCAAAACTAAGGCTGGGCTTCGAACGTTCAAGGTACAAAAGGCCCCTAATCGCGACGAGAAGCAGAACAAGTCCGCCAAAACCCGTGCCAGGAAGTTGTACCTCAACATGCTGACGAAAGTTGAATGCTGCATCATGGACGACGAAACATATGTGAAGGCCGACTTCAAACAGATCCCCGGCAACCTGTTTTTCACGGCCAAGGATAAGTTCAGCGTTCCGGAGCATGTCCGCACTCAGAAGATGTCCAAATTTGCGAAGAAATTCCTGGTTTGGCAAGCCATCTGCACGTGCGGGAAGCGGAGTGCACCTTTCGTGACCCAGGACACGATGAACGGACAGGTGTACATAAAAGAGTGCCTCCAGAAGCGGCTGCTTCCTCTCCTGAGGGCCCACAACGTCCGAACAATCTTCTGGCCGGATTTGGCCTCATGCCACTACTCCAAGGACGTGCTGAAGTGGTATGCGGACAATAAGGTCAATTTCGTGCCGAAAATGTTTAACCCTCCCAACACTCCGGAGCTCCGCCCCATCGAGAAGTACTGGGCGATTATGAAGCAGCACCTTCTTAAACGACCTAAGGTAGTGAAGACAGTCGAGGAACTGAAGAAAGTATGGGTTTACATGCAAAAAACGGTTGATTCACAGGTTGTGCAGAATCTTATGGCCGGAGTTAAGGCCAAGGTGCGGGCATTTGCGTATGGACTGTTAATACAATACGAGTAAAATGGTAAAATGAAGTTTAATAGTTATTTCTCAATCCCTGAAAATTTGATGGCAATCGGATGAAAACTCGAATTTTGCGAATCAATTTTGTGTGTGGCAATTTCATCGTGGACACCCTTTAATGACAGATTAAAAATTTTCAAATAAACCTGCTATCTCAAATTTAAAAAAAATAAATTTTCAAATAAACCTGCTAACCTGCTACCACAATTATTTCAGACAAACCAGGAATCAATGTTGACAAACAATTCCTCGAAAATTGGACGATCAACAACAGAGGGATTTTCGAACATTATAATTTATTTTCGAAGTGTCAGTGCAAATTCATCATTTTTACTTAAATTTGACATGTCGAAAATAAATTACAATGTTCGAAAATCTCTCTGTTGTTGATCGTGTGATTTTCAAGATGTTTGTCAAAATTGATTCCTGGTCTGCCAGAAATAAGTCTGGTACAATAGCAAGTTTATTTAAAAAATTTCTATCTGTCTAATTTAAGTTAAAATTCACCAAATGGAACACAACCACACAGATTGAATCCAACATGTGTTCGATTTTGACCATAGAACCATCCATGGGATTTTAACTATTTAACAATTCCAATCGACGTAACTGATTTTGTAAACAATCACTTCAATCGACGATTTGTGGCAACTGCAAGCTCACTCACAGAAACACCATGTAGTAGGCGAAAGTTTCCCCTACCTGATGATGGTGTTTGTTTGCGTGGGTGAGTTAGCAGTTAAAACAAATCGTCGATTGAAGAGATTGTTTACAAAAGCAGATGCGTCGATTTACTACATACTGAGAGCGAAGAGGCTCACGAAGCGTGAAATCGAATGTAAGGAATAATATCAATAATAGGAATTATTTTGTATAGAACGCTAAGCGCACCTCTTCGCTCCCAATATGGCAGCGCTCTTAGAGTCCAATGCTGAATCAATGGTAAAATTAACAGGTTGCTTTGATGTTCCATGTTGGTTTCAATCAGCGATGACATGTATCCTGATTTTTGTACATGATAAAAGTTGGGATGGTTTTAAGGCTGTAAAGCTGTAGATTTCATACAAATCAGCTAGAGTAGATCATTTCCAAGTATCAAAAATTAATTATGAAGGCTAGTTTTTCAGAAGTATAACGAGAAGATGAAGTGAATTGGTAACGACCTGAGTGGTGCAGAGAAACACGAAATGGTTGTCAAAAAGAATCCAACTGGTGCTGTCAAAAAGAATCCAACGATCTAGAGCCGAGACGGCTAATACATAGGTGTAACAGTCGGAAGAAGTGTTAGTTTGTTTACTTAAATGAACCATGCCCATTTTGTTATGGCATGTTTGCTATAAGAAATGCGCCTCGTGTTTATTAGCGAATTTCACATCAAAGATTGATTAATTGAGTAGGAAATCAGTTTGGCACGGCATTTGTGACCAGCATACACCTTCCGGTAGTATGAAACAGGTCAAAAACTGTTCAAATCCGCAGATAAAAATTTTTGTTTTGAATTTCTGTATAGCAAAATAGTGAACTTTTCGTGAACATTAACGGCAAAGAACTCACCAACACTGGGAGACTGTGAGTTCCTGCCCACCTGTCATTTACCATCGTGATCTAGAGCTGCTAAAAGTGATACTTTTCTCATACAATCCCCGTCGGCAGAGAAAGTATTGTGGTCAATGTTGAAAATATTGTCATTTCGGCATTTTTTTACTAATATTCTTCAACAAAAAACTTGCTCAAATACTCGGATGTAAACAATGTAACGAACGAACGAACCTGCACGAACTGCTGAAGGAAGAATGCAAACAAACTTTATAAGAGTCATGTATGTAGGTGCACTCCCAACACCATGTACACGTTATTTATGGAGCAAAGGGTGAACTTTCGATAGCATGTAAATGCAAATTGTGAGCAGTGCATTAGCAAAACAATTTGTGATATCGGAAAATTTTCAAGTTGATTCCTGCTGACTTGCAAAACAAAAACGGCTGTGTTCGCAGTACCCAGGTAACGACTACAAGTTATGAACAATCTCAATTGAACCTTTGCAAATCATGAATTTTGTGATAGCGCACATATTATTAAAAAGTTTGATAAAAACTTATTGTCATCATTGTCCTCCTTAATCTCCAAACCTCAAATGAAATGTCTTCCTTTTCAAGTTTTTTATATGGTAACCCTACCCCCACGTGACCCTTAACCGAAGTACTTGCATTGAAACTTGTCACTTTTTAGAATTTGA